CAGAGGAAGGCGCTGCAGTCTCCGGGCCTCGCGGCCCCACTCAAGCGTCCTCAGCACCGAGGGCTCGCGGGTCCTGAAGGGAGGAGGCGAGCCCGGGGCCGGGCACTGAGCTCTTGGGCGCCCCCATCCCCGTTTTCGGAGCCCTCCACGCTGCGGCCGCTGTCCTCTCCGGACCATGGCCGACGACGACGTGCTGTTCGAGGATGTGTACGAGCTGTGCGAGGTGATCGGCAAGTGAGTCTCCAAGCGAGGGAGCGGGAGTGTGGAAAAATGCATTTCAGTGATGCCCGGGAGCTCCCTCACCCGCTCCGGGCCTGCCCCCTGCCCTCTCTCCCTCCCCTCTGCCTCCCTCGTCCTCCTCACCCTGGAGTATTTATAGACGGGTACCTGGATCTCCTCCTAGGAGGGGGTCTGGGGGGTTCTCAGGGATCGGTTGAGGCCAACGAGCCGAGGTCGGCCCCCCATAAGGCGTGGGGCTGGCTGCCTGCATTTTATCTGACGGTTGCACAGGGACGTGGCAGAACCGATTTTATAGTTGCTTCCTAGGAACAGTTGGGGTTATTGTTACCTTGCGTGTACCATAGACCATTTACGAAAAGAGCAGCTTGCATTTCGTTTACTGTGTTGAGAGAGAGAGAAAGAGCGTCCAGGGTTTTTAATTGTGGGGTGTGTGTCTATTGTGCAGGATATTAGACAGATGCCTTTGTGTTCACCCCATGCCCTGATTGGAGGGGGTCATTTAAGACGGGGTACGTCCAGTTTCAGCAAATTCCTCACCGGGTGTAGACGAATGTGCAAAGAGTTGGGGGCACCCGAATTTTTAATGCCTCGTTATGCAATAACTGTTCAATCAGTGCTCGAGGCTCCGTTCCACTGTTGTTGGGATGGTGGTTAGCGTGGTAGAGCCGTCTGCTTTGAGTCACCGGGCTGGTCTAGAATATAGAACTGACAGTCCAAATGCTCATCCTTTCATCTGTGTTGTATAATTACGCTAGGGAAAAGCAGGGAATCAGATTAATCACAGTGCTGATTGAGAATTAAATCTGCAGTTCCTCATCTAATTGTCCATTCCTTAAATCTGTTTTGAATAGTTTCCTTTTCATTCTTGTCAAACAATATTCCAAGTGCACAAATCCTGCTAATTTGCTTGTGAGGGAAAATGCTGGCGATCTGAAGTTGATTTCCTAGCTCAGCGTGTATTCTGTGGCTTTAGAAGTTGAGATAAGATTTAACAGCAATTTTTGCTTATTTAATAGAGCTTGCTAGATAGCTACCATTGGAATATTTTACCTCGTTTTTTGAAGCGATGCTTTATTGTCTATTTTAAGGTCCGCAGTTGGGAAACGAAACCAAGACCTTAGAGCAATTGGCTCTCTCTCTTTTAAGTTGCCTGCAGTACTCAATTTCAATTTGTTTGAGTGCTGATAACTCATTTTTTCTTCCATGTTGAGGTATTACGGTGTTGCCTCACTTGGTGAAATTGTGGGTTGAGCTTGCTACACACTTTACTCAGACCCAGTTGCTGCGAGGACGTGTTACTCCTTGCCCCTATTGTTCAATGACCAGCGTGTCTGTTAGAAGGAGGATATCCAAATGTGTCTGGTAAAGTCGTTGTAGAAGTGCTCCAGAGCAGCGCTGTCCAGAAGATATATAATGAGAGCCACATAACTAATTAAAAATTTTCTAGTTGCCACATTAAATGATTAAAAATAAATAGGTGCAATTAATTTTAATAAAATCTTTTATTTAACCCAATAGATCCAAACTATTAAAAATTATGAATGAGATGTTTGTACATTCTTTCATACTAGTCTTTGAAATCCAGTGTGTATTTTATATTAACAGCACATCTCAAATTCAGATGCTAAGCTAAATTTTCATCAGAAATAACTTGATCTGTTTAGGTTTCATAAATTTGCATGTACAAGAGTAGATTCACATACCCAAGTTGTTTCAAACATACCTAAAAGTTTTTCAGTAACTGAATTGTTTCCTTTTAAATTTAAATTTAATTAAAATGAAATAAAATCTAAGATTCAGTCCCTCAGACTAGCCACATTTCAAGTGCTCCATAGCCACATGTAAGTGGCATAGTTCTAGAGAGAAAAATATGTCCAAATTCTCCTTGATTTCTTTATTGTTAGGAGCACCCAGTGAGGGTAAATTAGGTGTTTCCCCAAATCCCCAAATAACTGTATGTGTGAGTGAATGATGTTTGTTGTGTCTTAGTTATAGCTAATGTAAATGAACCAGCAAAATCATAATTGGAAAATATGAGATTAAAATGTTAATTATATTGGGATGATGAAGAATAGCCTCATTGAATCAATTTTGGTAAGTAGTTCTGATTCCTTAAGGTCTGGAAGGATGACAGTGTGATCTCTTTGGATGTTACAAAGTGGTCAGCATCACATTAATATAGTCAGTATTCTATTGACTTAGAATTGATAGAATATTTTCAGGCAACACCCCCGGTAGAATTCAATTCTTCTGTTGTTTCACAGCTGCATAAAGCTGGAGAACAAGCTAATTTTGAGGCAGTAGGTATTCTATGGCTACCTTAACTACTGTGAACAGTGAAATCTCACTCAGACTTGGTCAGTGCCATTTATGAAATGCCATTCTGTGAAATAATGAATCCAAGATAGCCTTAGTGTTAAAGAATGTAATGATAGCAGTCCTCACCCTGTGTAAAGGTTGAAGGTTTCTCCGGTAAATTGTCTCAGTATATATTGATCTGGAAATTGAAATTCGTTTGAGATTTTTCTAGCAGGGACCTTGACAGCATACATTTTAACTTAGAATTTGTTCAATTATGGATTTAAAAAGAAATGCTTTGAAGATGTTCACTTGCACTGAAAACCTTTTTGTTGATTTCTATCCAAATTCCATAGAATTTTGATTTTTTTATATCAAATTAGTGTCACAAATTGCTTTTCACCACCAAGTCTTAATAGGTTTAAATTTTCACTAAGGCACTTTAAAATAGATTTCACTTTTCAAAACTAATTGGCCACCCACTCACTCCCCTACCTACTCATCCACCGACTCACTCAGCCACTCAGCCACTGTGTACTAGGCTTTACTTGATGGTGTAAAGGAAAGTTCCATTTTAAACCCTAGTGTGTATTTTCCTTGAGTCGAGAAGGACAACCTGAGTTAAGAATGTTTTAAAGTAGAAGATCATTATTTGCAATATATTTTCTTTCTAGTGGCTGTGGCCTTTATGCTTATTAAAGCTGTCTTTGAGGGAACCATATATCTGATTCATTATAAAGATTGAGAGGATGCCATTTCCTTTTTAAAAAATAAAAATTCTTTCCCCTGTGTTTCTTATTTTTGGAAGTCTTGCAGAAACACTTTTGAATGCCTGTTGTTTCCATAACATTTTCCATGTAGCATCTTTCAAGTTACTAAAACAAATCTCCAATAATAGTACCTTATCATAGTCCCCCAATTTTTTTTTCTTTGCACATGCAGCAAGTACTGGAAAAGAAAGATATTATGAAAATCTGGCTTAGTGTCTAATTTTTATGTCATGATCATTTACTGTAGCTTTTGCAAATTTTATACTTTTGTAGGTAAGTACACAATCCGTAACATTACATGAAGGAAATTTTAAGATGATTCATCCAAAATAAAATATAGAAAAATGCATACTTTCTGGGGCAGCAGCTTCTGTGAAGAATAGCAAAATGCACATTATTTACACCTTGTGTAGACTGAATATTTGCCCTGGTATTTAGGATATTTAGTAATTTGTAACTTCTGACTTTCCTGCTCTGGTAGGACATATACTAAAATTGGAATGATGCAGCATGACCCCTGCTCAAGGATGACATGCAGGTTTGTGAGGCATGCTGTATTTGCTTACACCTCAAGAACACTTATCATATTTAATTACAGTTACTTATTTATGGGTCTCTCTACCTAGCAAACAGGGAGCTTCTTGAGGGCAGGGAGCAGATCTCACACATCTTTCTCCATTACTTAACACACTGCCTGCAACCTAACAGTTGTTTGTTAGCTGTGGAATGAATTGAGTAGTTTTAATAAAATCTCATTAAAAGGCAAAACCATGTTTATCAACCTTGGAGCAATTATTGTCCCAAAAGGCTGCATTAGTTTATAGTTATTGTTCTTCACCTGGCCACATATTAGAATCACCAGAGGCTGTTAAAAAAGATCATTGCCAGGGCCCTGTGTCGGAGCAGTGAAATCAGAATCTCTGGGAGTGGGTCAGGTCAGTGGTATTTTTTTAAGCTGACAGATTCAAATGTTCAACAGTGACTGAGAGTCATTGGTTTAAAACTCAGGTGATGTATATGTAGTATTTAGGGACTGTTTTTTTCCAGAGGATTACAGTTTTTACAAAGCGTAATTAATGTTTTTAGGAAGGCATTGAAGTGAATGGTCTAAAACATGGATTTTTATCTTCTATGCACTCATGTTTCTGAGCCTTGTTTAAGAATTTAGTTTCAGCCTATACTTGTCTTTGATTTCTTGGGCCTTTTAAGGTTCACATTGATTTATGACACTAATCTAATGCTAACATGGTGATTGTCTGATATTTGGAACAATACATAACAAGGATAGCTTCAGTATCAGTTGATGATGGCTTCTCACTAAAATGGCTTAATTTAAGATTAACTTATCAATTTAGTATGGATTGTGTTTGCACACACACTCTATTAAAAGAGAATGGTTGCTTTTGTACTTTAAATTCCGTATTTGTGACTCCAGTAAGGCTATTTAGTAAAGGATTGAGTTAAATGTAGCCTCTATGTAAATACTGGATTAATAATATGTGAAGTATATAATTCAGCATAGAGGAAAATTCTGCTTTATAAATTGTACTAGGTTCTATGAATTTCACATGTATTGATTGGCTCAGTGATTTGGATTTCTAGCACTATCCAGGGAATGTTACATCATGTTGGAGAATCTTTTCTGGAAATTTTAACTAGACATTGTAGGTAAACTAGTTTCTAATGTTAGGAAAAAGTCAAGTTTGAGCCTGAAAGAAAGGAGAAATTTCCAGAAAGGAGTAGTGCTCCATGAAAGAACTGCATGATCACAGTGACAGCCATGTAACAAGGTAAATGAAACACAATCACCAGCTAAATCGCTAGAAGCCCAGAAAGAATCCAAGCCATGGAAGTACAGCTGCACTTCTACAGAGGAAAAGCCTGTTAAACACAGGATATGGATTTCTACAGATGGTAGGCCTCATT